CTATTAAGAAGTCCCCTTTAGGGATAACCATCATTGCATCCCCACGGAAATTGCATGCAGCTTTGAAGGTCCTAATGAAATTCTGCACCAAATCACAAACTCAATCAAACACCCCCACCATGAACATACACATGGAACAATGAAAGAAGAGCCTAAAACCAAAACATACAATCGAACTATCCGTCTTTCCGTCGGCTTTCGCACCGTAATCTAACACATTAAAACTCTTGACGTCGGAGCCTACTTTACCAACACCAGCATCTTTAGTTTTGTTTGAAGCATCGCCTGCTTCATCAGCACCAACATCTTTAGTTTTATTCGAAGCACCGCCTGCTTCATCAGCACCAACATCTTTATTTTTATTTGAAGCATCGTCTGCTTTATCAGCATCAACATCTTTAGTTTTTTTATCAGCATCGCCTGCTTTATCAGCATCAACATCTTTAGTGTTTTTTGAAGTATCGCCTACTTTATCGACATCAACATCTTTATTTTTACTTGGATCTTTGGTTTTATTTGATTTTTTAGATTTTCTTGAACTGCCGCCTTCATCGCCCTCATCGAATGGACGTCCACCGTCGCAGCCGTCGCAAAGCACTAAGAACAAGAGAAGAACGGCTGTTATTTGAGCTCTAGTGACGAATGCCATCGATGTCACCCAAACTGGGCTTCAAATTTCTGTCCTTTTTTTAAATAGAAAAAGTTTAAAGGACTCAAATGGAGAGACTTAAAGAAAGAGATTTATTGGTGGAAAGCTTTGATTGATTCTTTATAATATTTTAGCCATTCAAGAAGAGGAACTCTTGCCTCAATTTTACGATGGGGAAGGACTAAATTGTCGGAAAAATGTTGTTTTCGTCGCTTAAAGTTTCGTCGCCTTTTGTCCTAAATATGGCCTTTTTATGTATCCCTTGTGAGTGTTTAGAGGGCATTTGTTCATGAAATTATGAATGATTCAGAGACAAATCAGTACGGATTTAAATAGACTGATATACGAATTTAAATCTCGGAAAAATAATTATAAAAACCAATTGGATAATATTATGTTAGCTTATTGATACATTAATCGTCACGTCAATTGAATTAAGAATTACACCCGATATATTAACGATCAAATATGAATTATATATGTCAAAATAATTTATTTAGTTATTATTTTTTTTAAAATTTAAATACTTAATTTATAATTAAAAAACACCCAAAAACTTTTTTTACCTCTTAAAGTAGACTTGTAAACGAACTGAACAAACACAAACGAGAGTATGTTAATGTTCGTTTGTTTAACTTTAACCGAACAAACGAACAAACACGAACAACTAAACGAACAAAATTTCTTGTTCATGTTCGTTCATAAAGAAATTTAGCTTGTTCGTTTATGTTCGTTCGTTAAAATGATAAACGAACACAAATGAACGAATGTAAACGAACACAAACGAACGTACACAAACGAATGTAAACGTATGAACATAAAATTAATTGGGTTTATATTTGAGAATTTTTTTCTTTCCAAATAATTTAGGATTTATATTGTTTCTAATTGATTTGAGTACTTTTGATTTGGGTTTAAAATTAATTGAGTTTAAAAATATTAATGGGTTTAAGGATTTATATTTTTTTCCAAACGTACGAACATAAAAATATTGTTTCTTAATATTTCAAACGGGTCTGGAGAACATAAACAAGCATAAACGAACGAACGTAAATGAGCATAAATAAATGAGTTATCGAAAGTTCACAAACATAAACAAAAGAACGAGCCTTTTGTTCGTGTTCTTTCATTTAATTAAACGAACATAAAATCTGGTTCATGTTCGTTCGTTTAATAAATAAACAAACATAAACAAACGAGTTACCGAATGTTCACAAACGTATACGAACGAACGAGCCTTTTGTTTGTGTTCGTTCATTTAATTAAACGAATATAAAATCTTGTTCATATTTATTCGTTTAATAAATAAACATACATAAACAAACTTTCCGTCAAATGATTCACGAACAGTTCACTTAACGTTGAATTCATTTACATGCCTACCTTAAGGGAAAAAAAGCTAGTAGAGGCTGGAATAATATATGCTTCACTTATCACCTTGGAACAAAAATAATATCAAGAAGGCATAATTTCTTTCCGAATTGATAAGATTAAAAATAAAAATAAAAAGAATCCCCTTTTCTTCCGTGGGGCTAAAATTACTATCCACTTGGATTTATTCTATTTTAGTTTGCGTAAATTGTAAAACTAATTTTTATACTAATTTGGCATTTTTGAACTTTTCTGTTGATTAAAACAATAATCATCAAATTTATAAGTAATTTGATTAATTTTAATTGCTATAATTTAACCATATTATTTCTATACTATTTATGTTGAATTTGAAATTTAAAAAATTTAAAACTAAAATCTTAAAAACATGAAAATTATATTCATAACTTAAACATTCGGACGGAATGATATTCTCAAAGTCTTTTTATCATTTAAATATTGCCACATATTACCACTTAAAATGATAATCTAAAATCTAAAAAAAAAAGTAACATTTTTTATTAAACGAATGTGATTACAAAATAATACTCAATCATCTTTGCCGTCGTTGGTACTCAAATTCATAATCTATAGAAACAACAACGATTCATTTGAGTAGATAAATTTCTTCATGCCATGATTTTTTTTCATTGTCTTAAACACATATTACAGCTTCATAGCATATATTCACACTTAGTGAAAAAAGAATAATTTACTTTTATAGTGAATGCCCTATTCCCTCGGATGCTTCTTTCAAATAGTTTGTGAAAATGCCCTGAATTTATCAACTCATTGTTCTTTTTAATAAAATAGACCTTTTGTTTTAATTTTTTGGCTATAGTAATTTTCCTATACAATATTTAAATTAATTTTTGTGCGTGTCAATCGAATTATATTAACGTATAATAAGAGATGATAATTGTGGACATTTTTTTGTTGTCTTGGTGGGTGAGTCTCCCAACGGAGATTTTTTACATATACAAGGACTCGAACCTTAGATCTTGCTTAAGCGATGATCAAAATGTTGATCGAAAAGATCAAAAACTCTAACACAAAAGAAGAAAGAGAGAGAGATAACGAAAGACTTAGTTGAGTCCAGGTCACCTCATTTAAGAGTGAATTGCAAAACAAAACCTACAAATTCGTGATTATAACGACAGAGGTTTGCACAACATTGCCAATTGCTTTCATTACGGAAACCAAAATACAATTGTTTTTTTTGTGTGTGGAAAATGTAATCCGAAATTACCGAGTTGCTTCACGACATTGCTAAGAGCCTGAGAATTGGGATGCTTGACAAACATACCATCTGCCATAGTTGTTAGTAGTTTGAATTTGATGACAATTGCCGGTATCGGGCTGTTGAACAACGGTGACGGCTTGCGGTCCATGATAAACATATTGGCTCGGAGCCAGTTGCTTCGGGGCACACCGGTGGATGGCCGAATCTCCGGCCTGCCGGCCGTGTGTTGACGGAAAGCTTTCGGACACCGAAGCAAGCTTGATAAGATGAGCTATTGAGCATGCCATGGAGCTTTGGTGTTCTATTTTTCTTGCATGTACATCGAGGGTAGGCATTTCAGTGTTTATATAGGAGGTTTAGGGATTAGGATATCTAGTGGAATCCCCTGCATTTCCCATTTTGCCATCACAATTTAAATAAATGAATAAAAATTCAAGGAATTTTCTTAGGAGAATAATGGAAATAAAAAGAAAAGGTTATTCCCCCATTTAGCTCTCTTTGACTCCATTGTTGATTAAGATAAAATATAGACGAAATTGAAACGACTAATCAATTAAAGTTGAGATGCCTAATCATTTTACTTTTGCTTTGGTAGTAGTATCAAATCTGATTTAAATTATTAATTTAAAAGTATTTTAATTGAATTTATAATGTTTTTTTGTCTTGAGTCGCCTATGTTTTTCTATTTTTGCATGTTTGAGTTTTCTATTATTTTATTTAATAAATATTTTATTTTTAATAAAAATAATATATTCTTTAATTAATGTTTATTGGGTTATATTATTGATTTATTATTAATTTGAATCCATATTACCAAGCATCGTACTAACAAGTTATCTTAATAGTTAAAGGAGTGTGTGTTATCCCTAAAGGTGGTCATAGGTTCGACCATCAAAGACGGTAAATGTGATGAACTTTCATTATCAAATTATTGAAAACATTTAAAACAAATACTACATTCTAATCACCATATCTTAATCAAGGACCATATTACTAAGGATTCATAATTATTTTAGATAAATTATGCTTGAGTTATAATAAAAATTAATTGTCAAATATAATTAAGTTATAAGAAAATTTTACGTTTTTACTTTATTAAATGTTTTAATTTTTTATATTAATTTGGGGTAAGCATAAGGTAGTATATATTTAAAGATAACTCTCAATCATCTGACATTGAATGCTCATAATCCGGACATTCATAATACTCAAACCATAAACCTCATAAAATAGTAATAGTTCTTTTATCACTATAGTCACTTGGTTCATAATTGAATTTGAATAATATAATTGGGTAAAGAAAGATTTGCCATATATGCTTATGGGAAATGGAGAATAAAGGGGAAAGTAAGAGCAAACAAATCCTATGTTGGTGTCAAATTATGAACAAAAGAAAATAATACGAATATTAATATGAGATAAAAAATAATATAAGTTCAAGGTGAACGTATTCGTAGAGCTTTTTACGTGTTAAACTTCAACAGATCCTCGCATCCGCAGGGATCTCTCGTCCACACGAAAAGAATGGTGAACTTAAAATGGCGATTTGTTCATCGTCTACTTCGAGTATAAATATGGCATTGGAAATGCAGATTTGTTCAAGCGACAAGCACATGGGCTTTAGGTAGTAAGCAAATAAACCGCTGAAATAAATCTTCTTTCTTTCTGTCTTTCTTCCCTTTTAGGAAGAAAGGAAAAAGATTTTTTATTCTCCTCCTTTTTAGTGATAAAAAGGAAAACGACTGTTTAGAAATGGCGAATAACGTCGCTATGATCGGCATCTGTTCGATGTTTCTGGTGGCTCTGGTGATTGCCGTGGTTGCTGGTGTGACTCACATCAAGAACAAAGACGCCGAGAGCGACGGTGTATCGGCTTCCAAGAAGGCAATACAAGTTCTTTGCGAACCGGTGGATTATAAACAGACGTGCGTGGAGAGTTTGTCCAAGTCGAATTCTAGTGACACCACGGAGCTGATAAGGACTGGTTTTCAGGCGGCGATGACGGAGATAAAGGAGGTGTTGTCGAAATCGGCGACGATCCAAGAGTTGCAGACGGATGTTGGGACGAAGGATGCCTTTAAGGTTTGTCAGGAGGTGTTGGATTACGCCATTGATGACCTTGAGAACTCGTTCCAGACGCTTGGTGAATATAAAATGAGCAAGATCGATGATTACCTAATGAACCTCAAGGTATGGCTGAGCGGCGCCGTGACAAGCCAACAAACGTGTATAGACTCGTACGTGGAGAAGAACGGAACGGCGGCGGATAAGATGTTGAGCCTCATGAAGAAGTCACAGGAGTTAACTAGCAACGCCCTTCACATGGTGTCTGGAATATCATCTATCCTCAAGGACCTCAACATCCCAGACCTCGAGAACCTCGACAGTTCTTCCGGCATCGAACGCAAGCTCTTGTCAAAAACGGTGATCGGTTTTCCTGAATGGATGAGCTCGGGAGACCGGCGACTCCTGCTGGCAGCAGACGTTACACCGAACGTCACCATTGCTAAAGATGGAAGTGGTAAATATGATAGCATCACCAAGGCCTTGGCTGAAGTCCCAAAGAAAAATAAAGTGCGATTTATTATTTACATTAAGGCGGGTGTTTACAAGGAGAATGTCAATGTCACCAAGGCCATGGACAATGTCATGTTTATCGGAGAAGGTCCTACCAAGACTATCATCACCGCTCACCTGAGCAGCCAATTTGATCAGATTACCACGTTTCACACTTCAACTGTTGGTAAGTAGTACTATGATCAAAACTCCTTAGCTTGTCACATTACTTTAATGATCAAATATGATAGTTGATAATCGTATCTGAAAACGATAATTCTAAGTTTGACATCAGTCACCTTACAATCCGTGTATTTATACTTGAGAGAAATTGAAAAGAAGACTTTTTCTTCTTCTCTCCAAATTCTCTAATTTACTATTTTTCCTCAATGTCACCTTCATCCTTAAACATAAAGTCATCAGTTAACGATTGATCTTTCATCGAATATGGCTCTCCACCCATATATGTATCTCGGTTAGTATTGATTGATATGTGTTTTATTTTTGGTAGCTGTGAATGGGAAACATTTCGTAGCAAAGAACATCGGATTCGAAAACACAGCCGGAACAGAGGGTCACCAAGCTGTTGCCCTCAGGTCGAGCGGTGATTGGGCCTCCTACTACAACTGCCACTTTAGCGGGTACCAGGACACACTTTACGCCAACAAGCACAGGCAGTACTACCGTGACTGCACCATCAAAGGCACCGTGGACTTCATCTTTGGCGACGCAAGGAGCTTGTTCCAGAACTGTCATATTATCGTGAGGAAGCCGGCAGACAATCAGAATTGTATCGTCGCAGCACATGGGAGAGATGACTCGAAAACCTATACCGCCATCGTGCTCCACAACTGCACCATCTCCGGTGATAAGGACTACCTCCCAGTTAAGGACAAGAACAAGTCGTACCTCGGCAGACCCTGGAAGCCTTATGCCATCACTGTTATCATGCAGAGCCAGATCGACGACATCATCACGCCTGAGGGGTACACTCCGATGAATGGCACCGTCGGATTGGATACCTCGTTTTATGTCGAGGTCGGCAACAGAGGACCCGGTGCCAAAACTGACGGTAGGGTCAAATGGGGTGGTATCAAGCATATGGATTTAAATGCCGCTAAGCAATTCACTCCTAGCATCTTCCTCGAATCCGAAACCTGGATTCCACAACTTGGGATTCCTTGTGCTCCCGGTTTGCTTTAAAGGGTGTAAATTAAATAGCAAAAAGCCTAAAGCCATTATTGTGATTATGTTATTACTATTATTATTAAATAATTAATAACAAACTTTTTTTCAGTATAAATTATTCGATTGCCATGTTTAATGTCTAGATGTATTTGTATATTCATTGATTATTCGATTGCCCTGTTTAATATTTAGATATTTGATAAAGGGTGAAATTATATACATGTAACAAAATTATAATAATTATAGTATGAATGAGAGACGGGGGAGAAATATAAAACGTAGTGATTATGCAATGAATGTGGGTTTACAGGTACTGATGATTCTTTCTCGCGGAGGTACTCATCTTTCTCATTTATTCTTCACAGATGAATTGCTCTTGTTGTGTGAAACTACGATAAGTCAAGCGAACCTTTTGGGAGTCATCTTTGATCAGTTTAGTCCTTCTTAGGTCACAAGGTCAGTCCTAACTGATACAAAAACAAGAGAAGTAAACAATTTTAAAACAGAGCACAGTGAAAGAACAAGGGAAGGAACAACTTGATACTTTTATTCATCATGCTCAACCTTTTATAACGAAACTTTGAGACTAAAAATACATCAAACATTCAGAAAAATAGGAATTGAATGATTTCCTAAATCCGAACTAAAAAATATTACATAATCTTGTAAAACAAATAACATATTGCAAAACAAATAACAGAAAATTAAAAATTCAGTCAACAATCCCTCCCTTAAACCGAAAGTTTAAAAAATTATCGGTTTAAAGATTATTCATAGCACAAACACCAATCATCTTCCTTAACTTTTGAAATTCTGCTAGTTTTAAAGGCTTGGTTAGAATGTTGGCCATCTGGTCTTCACTTTTACAGTAGATGAGATCAATAACTGCTTCTTTTGTAAGGTCTATCAAGAAATGAAACCAAACATTTATGTGTTCGCTTCTCCCATGTAAAACATGATTTTTAGAGAGTTTGATGGTAGAAATATTGTCACAATAAATTGTTGTAGCACCCTCTTGCTTAAAATGAAGATCTTCAAGTATTTTCCTTATCCAAACTGCTTGACAAGCTCATGCCGTTGCAGCTACAAATTCAGCTTCGGTTGTTGATAAAGTAACAATTGGTTTCTTCTTTGAACACCATGAGATAGCTACTGAATTCATCATGAATACATAACAAGAAGTACTCTTTCTATCGTCAAGATCACCTGCATAATCACTATCAATAAATATGATTTTTCACCTTCTTGTAGAACAACCCATATTTAATGGTTCCTTGCAAGTATCTTTTAGTGGCGAGAAGATGTATTTCTCTAGGACACTTCATATATCTGCTAAGACGACTTACGACATACATTATATCCGGTCTTATGGCTGTCAAGTACATCAAACTCCCAACATTCTGCTTGTACATAGTGTTGTTGATCATTTTTCGTTCAGGATCTTTTATTAGCTTAAAACCTGCTTCAGCTGGTGTGCTAACAGAATTGCAATTTTGCATTTGAAATCTGTTTAAAATGTCTTGCATGTCTTTCTTTTGGGAAATAAAGATAACAACAATGGATTGTATCACTTTTATGTCAAGAAAATAGTGCATCAAACCAAGACCAGACATATCAAACTCAACTATCATGGATTGCTTAAACTTTTCAAGCATGGCACTAGCATTTCCAGTAAAAAGAAGATCATCCACATATAAGAAAATAATAAGCAACTTCCCTCCAACTTCAGTTTTGACAAAACGTGTATGCTCATATAGACATTTGTGAGAACCTTTCTTCAAGAAATAAGTTTCAATGCGACTATACCAACCGCGTGGAGCTTGTTTTAGTCCATAAAGTACTTTATTCAGCTTATATACTTTATGCTCATGTCCAGATTTAATGTAACCAGGAGGTTGTTAAAAAAATACATGTTCTTTCAAGTCTCCATACAGAAAGCTGACTTCACTTCCATTTGAAAAATAAGCCATGAATTTTGTGCGGCTAATGCTATCACCAATCTGACTGTATCAAGTCTTGCAATGGGAGAAAAAATTTCTTTATAGTCAATGCCGAACTCTTGCTTGTAGCTTTTAGAAACTAAGCGCGCCTTGTACTTAACAACTTCGTCATTTTCTTTAAGCTTTGTCTTGTACACCCACTTCACACCAATGACCTTTTGTCCCTCTAGAAGTTCTGTTAACACCCAAGTATTGTTCTTTTCAATAGCAGCAATTTCATTATTTTTTTGTCAAGCAAATTCAGGTGGTGTTCTCGAGCCAATACTCGGCCTCTTCGGGTTTATCTTCATTGGCATCAATAAAAGTATATGCCCGGTGTTGGCTGAACTTATCGATAGGAGCCTCGTTAGGTGCAACAGGAGAAGTAACATGTTTTTTGTTTTTTGTTAGGAGCATGGAATTCAAAAGTTCTGTCAAGCGACTTCGAAACAAGAACATTCCTTTGGTAAAAGTCTTGTGAAGAAATCACAAGATGGAAAAAGCAACTTAGGAACCAGAGGATACTATGAAAAAGCACTATCCTCACCTATTTAATCCAGGTAAGAATTCAAGGATGAATTCTCTTTTAATAACACCCCGAAATCCTAGCCTAGGAGAATTAAGTTACATTGCCTAGGATAAAAACCAAATTGAATGGATATTTCAATTAATGGAATTAAATAAAGATCTAATTGAATTAAAATTTAAAATAATTGAATTGGAAAAAGGACCTAATCGAATTGCCTAGGATAATCACCAAGTTGAATTGGAATTTAAATTAGTTGAATTAAATTAGTTGAATTAAACATGGACCTAATCGAAATGATTGATGAAGTGCTAACCAAATTAGAGTGATCCAATTGAAATAAGTAACAAATAATAAGATTGCATGTCAAATACATGAATTCCTAAATTTACCCTTGAATAGTTGGTTACTTAAGTATTAAGAGAGCCTAAATTGGGCATTTCCACCTCCACTAAGAATGAAAGATATCATCCTTCCTATCTCATTTGGTGACCGACCTAAGAAAGAAAAATTAGAGAGAATTAAGAGAGAAAAAGACGGAGAGAAATCAAAGAAGGAGGCCGACCATGCAAGCTTAGTTCAAGCTTGAATTAACTAGGAAATTACATAGCCTAACAAGTAAGTCTTTCCTTCCTATTTCCATTCAAAATTTAAGGATTTAATTGAGTAAATCCTTGAAAAATTGCTAAGCTTGATTATTGAATAAATTTAAAGTGTCGGTACGATACTAGAGATTTTGGTGGTCATGTTGAGTTAGATTTAAGTGATCAAGAACCTTTTTAAGTTGGGTAAATTATGGGTTATCACCTTAAGGGTGATAACAAAAATAATTGTGCATGCATGTGACTAAATTAAGAAATTTTAAAGGTTTTGTACTAAATTGGAAAAATATATGTAGGATAAAGTTGCTATAAATTTAAATTTATTGAATATTTAAGCTTCAAACAAGAGAAAATGCTGTAAAATTTTAGGAATTTGGCCTTAGAGTGAAACTAGTCACAATTATTGCTATAGATCGATTAAGGATTATTTTGAACAAATTAAGGAAATTAAGGATCCAATTGAAAAGGATTACATATTTGAAATGTTATCTAAAAATAGGGTAGAGACTGAAAAGAATGTAAAATAAATTGTAAGGCTTAAATTATAGAAGAATTGGTAGTTTGTAAATGGTACATTAGCAAAATAGGTAAAACTGGATTGTTCTGGAAAATCTGTTAATTGGAGGACTTAATTGGAATATTAAAGGCTAAGGTTGATATTAAAATACATGGAAAGGATAAAAATAAGCAATGTTAAGAATATTTAAAACAAATTGATAAGAATTCTAGGTGAATTAGTTCACCAAAGTGCATCGAATTGCAAGAGTGACAGATTGGTCACTGGAAAATTGTCCAACTTCAAATGCAAAACTGTAATTGTATATAAGAAATTAAAATACAAGTCATACATGTTTGGAAATATAATTGAATTATATTTATAAGGGAATAAAGAAATCGAAAATCCAATGAGTAAATTAAGATTTATGATCAAATTACTACAAGGTGTACAATCTGCCAAAATAAAATCTATTTAGTGCCAACTAGATAATTGAGCTGGAATTTACTATGGTATTGATTATAATAACTTCCCTATGTTGTGTATAAATTTTTATATCTAGTAATTGAGGAAGTGTCTGAAGGAACTAAGGGAGGATCCACCAAAGATAAGCAAAAAGGGATAGTAATTCAAGACTAACTTAGAGTATTGTGAGTGTAATTATACTCAGGTTGGGAATTAGGTCCTAACACCCTTTATTTTTAGTTCTATATTTTTTGTTCTATGTTCAATTTCTTATGAAATGAGTATGTTAATAATGAAATTAAGTCATATTAGAACTTAAAATTAAGGGAAAAAAGATTAATTAGAGGATATCAATTATTGAGTGCCATATGAAATTAATTGATAAATTGGTTATTGCATGTTATCATGATCAAATCAAATTGAATGGTCAACTATTATATGTTGCATTGATTGAATTGAATCGAATGGTGAATTATTGCATGCTACCATGATCAAATCAAATTGAATGATGAACTATTATATGATGCCTTGATTGAATTGAATCGAATGGTGAATTATTGCATGATACCATGATCGAATCAAATTGAATGATGAAGGTGAATTATTGTATGCTACCATGATTGAATCAAATTGAATGATGAAATATTATATACTGCCTTGATTGAATTGAATCAAATGGTTAATTATTGTAATCTACCATGATCAAATCAAGTTGAACGATGAACTAATGTATGCTGCCATGATTGAATAGAATTGAATGGTGAATTATTGCATGTTACCATGATTGAATCAAGTTGAATGATGAACTATTGCATGCTACCAATATCGAACTCAATTGAATTGAAATCTTGAATGAACAAATCGTTGCTTGCTACCATGAGCAATTTGAATTGAATGAATGATCTTGACATGGAATAGTCCTTCATGGCTATGTTACAAAGAAGAAATAATGATTTCTTGGCAAATAAGATTCAATTTCCTTG